TATCAAAACTACCACTATTTCTACCACCACTACCACTATCAAAACTACCACTAGTTCTACCACCACTACCACTATCAAAACTACCACTAGTTCTACCACCACTACCACTATCAAAACTACCACTAGTTCTACCACCACTACCACTATCAAAACTACCACTATTTCTACCACCACTACCACTATCAAAACTACCACTAGTTCTACCACCACTACCACTATCAAAACCTCCACTATTTCTACCACCACTACCACTATCAAAACCACCACTACCACTATCAAAACTACCACTAGTTCTACCACCACTACCACTATCAAAACCTCCACTATTTCTACCACCACTACCACTATCAAAACCACCACTACCACTATCAAAACTACCACTAGTTCTACCACCACTACCACTATCAAAACCTCCACTATTTCTACCACCACTACCACTATCAAAACCACCACTACCACTATCAAAACTACCACTAGTTCTACCACCACTACCACTATCAAAACCACCACTATTTCTACCACCACTACCACTATCAAAACCACCACGAACAGGTATGGTAGGATTGTGGACAGTGGAGTCTGAAGGCACTTTCTGTGGATTCCTTCTCACATTGGTCTTCAGATGCCTGATAGAAGTGTTGAATTGGCAAAATCATATACATGCCTTCAAAGAGGGAGTAGATTACAATCTTAGGGTGTCAGTTAGCAGTTTGAGAACAATAATACGAAAAGAACTTCAATTGAACTTTATTGACTTAAGACTGAGGGAGACTGACACCAGTCAGTCCATCTACCATCATTCTATCATGCAGGAGCAGTCACATGTCTAACTTGCAACCAGCAACACAAGCAGACTCCGGATGGGTTGTCAGTATCTCTGGCTGAGTTACCAATATCTTGGTGAGGTTAAATCACCTCCACCAGATATAGATATAGATAAACTTGGCCAGCAGATGGACAATTGTCACACCTTATCTGGAGTTTACCTGGGGAGGGATTCGGGCGTCAACGCCCCCGCGGCTCGGTCTGAGATCAGGCCTTGTGGTGGATCAAGGTCTGATCAACCAGGTTGTTGTATCATTATGTGCTGGAATGCGATAAATTAATGAATTCAGAGACAACTCACTCAGAAATGCTCAAGAAACGTCACAGTATTTTATCCACAGTGGTATATTACCAACCATTCTGTAAAAATACCCTGATTTTGCCCACTGTGAATAATGTATAAGCACTGTACACTAACAGATTATTCAGTTGTTACTCGAGAAGTTCATGATCAGCTAGGTTGTGGTGCCTACATTTATAATGCGTGTTGCCAGCACCAATAGCCTGGCTAACCTAGCCTTCAACCAGGCAGGCTGATTTGAGACAGGGCCGCAGGGGTGAGAGTCCCCTGAACCATGAGCAGGTGAACAAGACGGGGGTCATCACTGTCAACAGTCAGGAGGAGAGATGGGAATTTGATCCATTCACGATACGCCACAAGTCTTGCTAGCCAAGACCACAGTGAATAAGTAAGTAGTAAGTAAGTAAGTTTATTCAGGTATACACAAATACAGTTACATAGAATTATCATACATAGCAGCATATGTGTAGAGAACTAGGATAACCCAAAAGATACAACACACTCTGAAGAAACACCTCTTATTGGGTCCACGTTGCGATCTGTTTAAGATCTTGAGCAGATAAGTTCTACACAGGGTGAAACCTTGTTCTAGTGAAAGATTAGATTAGATTTTGCCACCGAAGTGGCTAGTTTATTGTGCACCCCATATCCATCCTGTGGACGGTAGCGCGAGAGCATATGGATACACAAAAGGCCTAGGAACTAGGCCCCAAAGGGTTAACAGGAATACATATGGATTTATATCTACATATCTATAGTTCATTTGTTCCGCAAATGTCTTTTCTTTATCGTGGTCGATATTGTGACATTTACATCCAGCTAAGATCACTCGACCATGGTTGAGACCACACTGGTGGGCAGCTAAGACTACTCGACCATGGTTGAGACCACACTGGTGGTCAGCTAAGATCACACTCGACCATGGTTGAGACCACACTGGTAGTCAGCTAAGATCACACTCGACCATGGTTGAGACCACACTGGTGGTCAGCTAAGATCACACTCGATCATGGTTGAGACCACACTGGTGGTCAGCTAAGATCACACTGGTGGGCAGCTAAGATCACACTCGACCATGGTTGAGACAACACTGATGGTCAGCTAAGATCACACTCGACCATGGTTGAGACCACACTGGTGGTCAGCTAAGATCACACTCGACCATGGTTGAGACCACACTGGTGGTCAGCTAAGATCACACTCGACCATGGTTGAGACCACACTGGTGGTCAGCTAAGATCACACTCGACCATGGTTGAGACCACACTGGTGGGCAGCTAAGATCACATTCGACAATATTACGCCAGCAAAACAGGCAAGTGTGTTACCAGTGGTCACAGCAATCACATCTTAACCATACTTGATATACTGGTTACATAGACTACAACCAGCCACAGACAGTACAGACAGGTAGAAATTTAATTCATAGAGTAACTAAACACAAAAGTCTGTTAGATAAGCACACCTAAAGTCGGTACCTGACCAGCCGGGCTGTGGCTCGTACGTTGGATTGTGTGCAGCCAACAGTAACAGCCTGGATGATCAATCCCTGATCCACTATGAGGCCTGGTCGCAGACCGGGCCGCGGGGGCGTTGACCCCTGGAACTCTCCCCAAGTAAACTCTAGGTAAACAGTTCAGAAATTTTCCAGCATGTCAAGAAGCAAAACCATAATATCAACTGGGAAGCTCTACCAGTATATATATATATATATCTATATTATATATATATATATATATATATATATATATATATATATATATATATATATATGTATGTATGTATGTAGTGTCTTGCTTCACTAGTAATAATGTTGACTAAAAAAAGACATTATGGCAGGATACTTTTTAGTTGATGCTCGGCTGTTTTTTAATTCTATGATTTGACAGATGTGGTTAAAGGAGAAATCAGAAGCAGAGGTAACTCAATTATTATTTATTATAATCATGGGGGAGCGCTAAACCCGTAGGATTATACAGCGCATGTAGGGGGGGATGGAAGGTATTCAGGCTCAATTCAGGGAACTGGAGCACAGATCCAATTCCCTGGATCAAGAGCCCCTCATCAGCATCAAGGAACCTCCCTTGAGGGGAGAGGTAACTCAAGTTCGGCTTATTCAGCTGACGCCATGACAAACAAAACAATAGATCCAACAAACAATATATAAATGATATGATACAACCACAAGATGATGTGTACGACTGAAGTTACTCCTCGGTCCTGTGGTATGGGATCACATTTATTGCTATCAGTACCCAACAATAGACTTGAAAAGAGATGACATCCAAGCGATACATTGTCTCAACTAAGGTTTCCAGTCTACCAGTTAGTTTAATAAGTTTATTATGCACCCCATACCCATCCTGTGGGCGGTAGTCCAAAGATTACAGAGGTACATAATGGATCCAGAGACTGGACCCCAAAGTCATGATAGCTGAACTAGTTTACAAAGGTAATGAACTCCAGGTAGATCTGGTCACAATGATGACCAAGGTCTACCACAGTGTTTTATTTTTTATCAATGTGTCAAGATCTACAGCCTCTTTCCAGTAAACCTGAGCCAGGGTGGTTGGTTTATCGGGCTTAAAGTGTATCGACTACCCAAATGGTCATTATGGCTGTAAAGGAACCTGCTCACCACCAGTCAAGAATACATTAATCCCTATATTAGGGATTAAAATAAACTCAGCGTATACACACTAAGAGAGACACATCTCGGTGTATATAACTTGTGTGAACCCATTATGTACCTCTGTAATCTCTTGACTACCGCTCACAGGATAATATTAATAATAATAATAATCTTTATTTCTACAGGTACATGATACAACTTATACAAACCATAGCTGACATCAATGACACACTATATAGAAAGCCCCTGGTTGTGAAGAGCATTTCCCGCAACTTTGGATAATCTTGTCCCCTAGTATGCGACCCACATCAGTCGACTAACACCCAGGTACCTACTTGTTGCTAGGTGAACAGGGACACGCCCAGTGTTTCCAGCCTTACCGGGGATCGACCCACGGACACTCAGTGTATGAGTTGAGTGCGGTACCAACCGAGCCAAAGGCTACATAGCAAAAATATTAAACTAAAACCTGAACGTAGGTGGTGGGTACCAATGTTCCTGCGCCCCGCAACATCACGTACCGATCACTCTCCTATTAACAGCAAGTGGTTATGACGAGGGAACAATCCTATCTCTCTTTTCAGTGATGCTCGTGTGACAGGGGAACTGTTTTTGTTTAGACAAAACTGGATGCATCAGCAGTGTGTTGTTGCTGTTGGAACACTCACAGGGTGTTGCTACCATATTCTGTGTGATAGTTACATTGTGACATCCCTAGTGTGCCTCTACCCTATTCTGTATGATAGTTACATTGTAACATCCCCCGGTGTTCTATCGCCGTATTCTGTATGACAGTTACATTGTAACATCCCCAGTGTGTTATCACCCTATTCTGTATGATAGTTAAATTGTAACATCCCCCAGTGTTCTATCGCCCTATTCTGTATGATAGTTACATTGTAACATCCCCAGTGTGCCTCTATCCTATTCTGTATGATTGGTAAAACTTGCAGAGTGTAGCTAGCCTATTCTATGTGATATTTACATCGTGGGAAGAAAAGCTAGCTATATTTCGTACACAAGGTAATGACATCTGTCAGCCTGAGCTGGGAGACTTCACCAGGACGAACGACAAGGATATAGGATTATAGGTTCACCAGTTACAGTTGCTTATTTTTCCTTTCAAAGAATCGTAGTATACACGGGAAGTAATGGTTATACAGACTCCTATAATACACACACAAATCGTCCAACAAATAGTGTTGAGAAAAATATGTTATTGAATTCTGTGGTTCCTTGCAGTACGCGGGGCTGTGGTTCGACATCGAGAGTGTACCCAATGAGTACCAACACACCAAGCAGTGTATCATACAGTACTACACGTGGACAGGTGAGTGTACCCGACGAGTACTAACACATTTAGTGTAACACAGTATTACACCTGGATAGGTGAGTGTATTCGAGTACCAGCACTAAGCAGTGTATCAGTATTACAACTGGATAGGTGAGTGTACTCAACGAGTACCAACACACTAAGCAGTATGTAAGCTAAGCCTGTAGGTTCAATAGTGGAAAAATCTTTCAAGTGTCAAGGGATTTATAATATACATAACAGGTTCTTAGAACTGACTGGCTGGAAGCCTTGACAGCATCACTTGTTGTTGGCAAATGTAGATTTTGCTCCCTTTTCTCCATAAGATGCACCTAAGAGAGCAAGCCTGATTTAAAAATATGATAACTTACGTATTTCCAAACAATATAATACCAATTCTGTCATATTTATGCACATCAGTGCTGAAAATTTCAAATGCCAGGAAACATCTCAGATCACCTTGCACCGTCGAAATTTGCTGGAAAAAGTGACACAACGTTTTTTTGTTAATCTTTATAAATAGCGAAAAGATGTCCCAGTGAGTGTGACCAGATATGAACATATAAATAATTCATTATCTTTGTAACTTGTTCAGCTATCAGAACTTTGGGGCCCAGCCCCTGGACTCATTATGTACCTCTGTAATCTTTTGACTACCCCCAACAGGATGGGTATAGAGTGCATAATAAAGATATGTAGCTGTTAGGAGCAAAATATAGAGGAAGTAGGAATGATGTGGCGATGGCCAGTCTCCTACTGCTGGCCACACGCAAATATAGTTTCTCTCCTGGTGTTATAGGAACACACATGGACGTGGCGACGAGGGGTCTTTCCGAGAAAGGAAAAAAAGTACAACAAGGAGCAGTCATGCATAAAGAAATAGAGGCTACTGATAATCCTGACCCGGCCTATATGACAGTGGTGGCCAGTGGTGTCCCCGAAGCTCCATATCAGGTACGTTTATTCAGGCACAGGTACACATAAGTACAATTATCATACAGTGTAAATTGCCTAGGAGAGCCCCAAAAAAGTCAAAGTGATTTATTTCCATTGTGGGCTTGTAACACCCTGCCAACACATTACTACCACACTGCTGCCAAACTATCAACCTTAGATCGCTTCCCCATGAATATAATAGTACTGGGGAGCCATTGTAGTTTATAATTGTCATGGATTGGTTGGTTTATTAGTTTAAAGTCGAATTTATCTTTTGCACCACCAGTCAAAAATATTTTAATCCTTAAAATAGGGATTAAATTAAGTTTTTAACATATATACACTGAGAAATAATCACGTACCTAAAATAGAGATTAAATTAAGCTCTCAGCATTGAGAAATAATCACTTCTCAATGTATATAATTATTTTCATAGGATTTCTTTATGCTTTAAAGCATCTAAATAATGTATACCTGGAGTTTACCTGGAGAGAGTTCCGGGGGTCAACGTCCCCGCGGCCCTGTCTGTGACCAGGCCTCCTGGTGGATCAGAGCCTGATCAACCAGGCTGTTACTGCTGGCTGCACGCAAACCAACGTACGAGCCACAGCCTGGCTGATCCGGAACTGACTTTAGGTGCTTGTCCAGTGCCAGCTTGAAGACTGCCAGGGGTCTGTTGGTAATCCCCCTTATGTATGCTGGGAGGCAGTTGAACAGTCTCGGGCCCCTGACACTTATTTTATGGTCTCTTAACGTGCTAGTGACACCCCTGCTTTCCATTGGGGGGATGTTGCATCGTCTGCTAAGTCTTTTGCTTTCGTAGTGAGTGATTTTCGTGTGCAAGTTCGGTACTAGTCCCTCTAGGATTTTCCAGGTGTATATAATCATGTATCTCTCCCGCCTGCGTTCCAGGGAATACAGGTTTAGGAACCTCAAGTATCTCCGTTATGCGCGCCGTGAAGGTTCTCTGTACATTTTCTAGGTCAGCAATTTCACCTGCCTTAAAAGGTGCTGTTAGTGTGCAGCAATATTCCAGCCTAGATAGAACAAGTGACCTGAAGAGTGTCATCATGGGCTTGGCCTGCCTAGTTTTGAAGGTTCTCATTATCCATCCTGTCATTTTTCCAGCAGATGCGATTGATACAATGTTATGGTCCTTGAAGGTGAGATCCTCCGACATGATCACTCCCAGGTCTTTGACGTTGGTGTTTCGCTCTATTTTGTGGCCAGAATTTGTTTTGTACTCTGATGAAGATTTAATTTCCTCGTGTTTACCATATCTAAGTAATTGAAATTTCTCATCGTTGAACTTCATATTGTTTTCTGCAGCCCACTGAAAGATTTGGTTGATGTCCGCCTGGAGCCTTGCAGTGTCTGCAATGGAAGACACTGTCATGCAGATTCGGGTGTCATCTGCAAAGGAAGACACGGTGCTGTGGCTGACATCCTTGGCTATGTCGGATATAAGGATGAGGAACAAGATGGGAGCGAGTACTGTGCCTTGTGGAACAGAGCTTTTCACCGTAGCTGCCTCGGACTTTACCTTTGACGACTATCTCTGTGTTCTGTTAGTGAGGAAATTATAGATCCATCGACCGACTTTTCCTGTTATTCCTTTAGCACGCATTTTGTGCGCTATTACGCCATGGTCACACTTGTCGAAGGCTTTTGCAAAGTCTGTATATATTACATCTGCATTCTTTTTGTCTTCTAGTGCATCTAGGACCTTGTCGTAGTGATCCAATAGTTGAGACAGACAGGAGCAACCTGTTCTAAACCCATGTTGCCCTGGGTTGTGTAACTGATGGTTTCTAGATGGGTGGTGATCTTGCTTCTTAGGACCCTTTCAAAGATTTTTATGATATGGGATGTTAGTGCTATCGGTCTGTAGTTCTTTGCTGTTGCTTTACTGCCTCCTTTGTGGAGTGGGGCTATGTCTGTTGTTTTTAGTAACTGTGGGACGACCCCCGTGTCCATGCTCCCTCTCCATAGGATGGTAAAGGCTCGTGATAGGGGCTTCTTGCAGTTCTTGATGAACACGGAGTTCCATGAGTCTGGCCCTGGGGCAGAGTGCATGGGCATGTCATTTATCGCCTGTTCGAAGTCATTTGGCGTCAGGATAACATCGGATAGGCTTGTGTTAACCAAATTCTGTGGCTCTCTCATAAAAAATTCATTTTGATCTTCGACTCTCAGTCTGGTTAGCGGCTTGCTAAAAACTGAGTCATATGGGACTTGAGTAGCTCACTCATTTTCTTGCTGTCATCTGTGTAGACCCATCTTGTTTAAGTAGGGGCCCAATACTGGACGTTGTTCTCGATTTTGATTTGGCATAGGAGAAGAAATACTTTGGGTTTCTTTCGATTTCATTTATGGCTTTTAGTTCTTCCCGCGATTCCTGACTCCTATAAGATTCCTTTAGCTTAAGTTCGATGCTTGCTATTTCTCTGACCAGTGTCTCCCTACGCATTTCAGATATATTGACCTCTTTTAGCCGCTCTGTTATTCTTTTCCGTCGCCTGTAAAGGGAGCGCCTGTCTCTTTCTATTTTACATCTACTCCTCCTTTTTCTTAGAGGAATAAGCCTTGTGCATACATCGAGTGCCACCGAGTTAATCTGTTCTAGGCATAAGTTGGGGTCTGTGTTGCTTAGTATATCTTCCCAGCTTATATCGGTTAGGATTCAATAAATACTTAGATATACAGTGGATATCTAACAACGTTTCGCCCAGACAGCAGCTTTAATAAAGATAGATAAATGGTATAAAATAACGACACGATGGAAAAAAATAGACAAATGCGGTATAAATAGATAAAATGTACTTACATTATATTCCTGTTCCATGTGTGTGTGTGTGTGTGTGTGTGTGTGTGTGTGTGTGTGTGTGTGTGTGTACAGATCGTGGCTACCGACTACAGAAGCTACTCCTGTGTGTATTCCTGCATTGAGTACTTCGGGTTTAGAGCAGAGTTCTCGTGGGTGTTTGGTCGGACGCCCACACTGCCGCCCACCACCATCGCTATCTGCCACCACGCCCTTACCACCATGGGCGTTGACCCCGAGAAAATGAACACTATCTTACAGGGAGAGGTGAGTCCTCTTGAGTTGAATTATGGAGAGTTAGCTTGAGAAACGTGCTCTCAGTGAACGTTTCGCTCTGTGTAAAGCTTGGTCATGTCATGATTTAACCTCCGCACCGAGCGAAACGTTGTCCTCAGTGCGATATTTGGAGTCAGTGTTTGGATCCTGAGTCCGTGTGTCTCTGGCAGGTAGGTGGTGATACTTCGCTCTTCTGGAAGAAATAATGTAGGTGACCCTTATGCATCCCATATCTATGAATGCGGATGGTAGTCTAAAGATTACAGAGGTACAAAATGGGTTCAGGGACTGTACCTCAACATTAAAGAGACACATAATGGATCCAGGGACTGTACCTCAACATTACAGGGGCACATAAGTACTGTGTGACAAAGGTCTCAATACAACTAAGGCATTGTGGTTGACTTCCAGGCAAAGCGTCCAAGAGGACGCCTTCTGTCATTACCACTGTAACCTGTTCAGCTATCATAACTTTGGGGCCCAATCCCTGGACCTATTATTTACCTCTGGAATCTCTTGACTACCCGCAAGATAAGTATGGTGCATAATACACTAAATTAAACGAAACTGTCAAGAAGGCCACCCCTCTGATTTTTTTTATTTTAAATCTCTAAGCTATCCCACCGATTCTATCTAGTTATATATTTATGAATTATGAAAGACAAACATATATTAACTGAAGTCAGTTTTATGCATACAAACTCTCAAACAAATTAATGTTATGGTCAGATACAGAATGATTTAAATCTAACATTTTTTTTCACATTTATGCCAACAGGAGTGTCCATACTCTCAAAAACTGGAGACAATGTTGGCTGAGAGTGAGCAGTACCTGTTGGAAATTTTGGGACCATATGTGCCTACCACTACTACCTTACCACCAGTCATGGTACCTGCAGCTCAGTCACGATTTAATAATAATAATAATAATAATAATAATAATAATAATAATAATAATAATAATAACTATTTACTTCAAGTACATGTACAAGGTGTACAGACCATAGCTGACGTCAATGATCTGATACTATATAGAAAGCCGCTTGTTATGCTGAGAATTTCGAGCAAATTAGGTCAGTTTTGTTCCAGGATGCGACCCATACCAGTCGATTAACACCCAGGTACCTATTTTAAGCTGATGGGTGAACAGGGACAGCAGGTGTCTTCAGGAAACACGTCCCTAATGTTTTCCAGTCGTACCGGAGGAGATTCATAGGTCAGTAGACTTGAATCACACAAGACAATAGACGAATGTTTTTTGACACAGCACGTAAGACAATAGTCGAATGCTTTTTTAACACATGAAAAAAATAGACAAACAGTTTACAACACTTAAGATAAAAGACAAATACTGTTTAATTCTAAGACTGCCTTCAGTGCACTGCATAACTATGATTTTTTTCCATACATAATAGAACCGACAATAAACATTCTTAACAACACACAATAGCCTCGTTAATGTGTGTTTTACACAATAACTAAATTTACATAAGTAATGTAAATTATTGAATATTTCAAGTAAATTCAGATATTTGTTTTGATAGGTTGTGAAAATGGGACGGGAGGAGGACTATGATAGGATAGAACAAGTGGGAAAGGTTGTGGGTAGACAGGAGAGAGACAGACAGACAGATAGGTTAAGTAGCTTGCACCAACTTGGGTGACTTTAAAGTTAGTAGTTTCTGTCACACAGTGACCAGTGTTTATTAAGTGTGTTAGGTTTTTTTTTTTTTTACCAGTCCGCGGTGGCCTGGTGGCTAAAGCTCTCGCATCACACGGTGAGCGTCTGGATTCGATTCCCGGCTAGGGTAGAAACATTGAGAGTGTTTCCTTACACCGGTTGTCTCTGTTCACCCATCAGTAAAATGGGTACCTGAGTGTTAGTGGACTTGTGTGGGTCGCATCCTGGGACAAAACTGAACTAATTTGCGGGAAATGCTCAGTGTAACAAGCAGCTTTTTATATAGTAGTATGTCATTGATGTCTGCTATGGTCTGTATACCTTGTACATGTATACCTTGTACATGTATACCTTGTACATGTATACCTTGTGCATGTATACCTTGTACATTTATACCTTGTACATTTATACCTTGTACATTTATACCTTGTACATGTATACCTTGTACATGTATACCTTGTACATATACTTGAGAAATGGAAGGTTTTGGTTAATTCATCTATCTGCATTTAATTCCCTTTTTAGCAGTGCTATATGACCCTTACGGTTTAACGTTTAATTTGCTGATAATAATAATTTCTTTTGAACGTGTTGCTGTATAGCCCTTGTGGCTTAGCGCTTCTTTTTGATTATAATAATAATAATTTTGAACGTGTGTTCACCAGTGACCCTATAATTCCATTCTTATTCAACAATGAACAAATTACCTTATTTTCCGGCATATAAGGCGCACCTTTTTGCAGTCTTGGAAAAATCAGCCTGCTCCTTATATGCTCAATGTTAAGGGTAGGCTTTGGGTTTGGCTTTAGCATAAAGTAATAAGATAATTAACCCTTGTGTGGAAAATACTGTATATATTTTCCGGAAATACAGTAATTTATAGGTAAATAGATGCCCTATATTGTATTTTTAAAAGAAGTATGTTATCGAAAATGGGAAACCTGCGGCTGGGGAGGAGACTCGCCATTTTGTTTGAATTGGACACTAACGGTCAGTGTATAATGGAAGAATTTTTCGTGCTCTAGAGGTTAAAATTGAGCTGACACCTCTCAAATAGGAGACGAAATTGTTGGATGTGCATAACTTGAGATATCAGGCGACTGGACAAGACAGCTCCAGGAACCCCAGCTAAGTCATGTCTATATTATGTTTATAGTTCTGGCCAGTATTATCATGAATGTAGACAGGGGGGGGTTTCTGAGTATGATACACCTTAATCTCCAGTCAAATTGGTAAATTTTTAAGATATTCTCCTTCTGTTATGTAAATGTGTTTATATATAATCATTCTTTATTATTTTAATATACAGTCCACAAATTTACATATTTACCAGCATTCCTGGTGATGTATATTTCATTTATAAGTAATAGGTCCAGAGCAACTTGTGGATATGACAGTGGTAGGTATCGAAGGGGGACATTTTTTGCGACCTAGGTGTCCCAAATTCCTACTTGTCTAACTGATAAATAATAATTATCTTTGTTCATTTACTGTTATGTATATAATGATACATTCAGCTAAATGTAATTTTCCACACCTTGATTATGATTACTAATTTATCATTATGCTACTTTTGCCTTATATGCCGGAAAATACGATATCTATTACGTTCACTAGTGAACATAACTGTTAGCTGGTAGATATATGATGCCAGGGAAATGAGTGATTAAAGCCATGTACTGCCATGTGAATGATGATATGCTTTATGCTTACAGGCTAGCCAAGATGTTGAAGGAGGAGTCCAGCAGCTAGCAAAACACCGTAAAGGTTAGCTGAACCTTTGTTATATTTTGCAATGTAAAATACACACACACGCACACACACACACACACACACACACACACACACACACACACACACACACACACACACACACACACACACACAGGAGCTGTGAATCGACCCCTGCAATCACAGATAGGTGAGTGTACACATAATATCACACACAAGATGAGTATAGAATGCATAATTAAAATATTAATCTAACTTCATATCATAAAATGTTCCCTTCCCGATCTATAACTGAGTGTTTGTTTTGGCAGATGATGGAGCTAAGAGCCCTAACAACAGCAACAGCAGACACAGCAGCAGTGTCTCCCTCTTGCTAGCTACTTTCTTACTTACAATACGACCTCTCTATGGTTAGACTAACTCTCAGGTAAGGACCCGCTAGGAATGAATGTGTAGTAGGGATACAAAGAAAGCCACTAACATGCGGTGTATTTCGGGATAAGAGAGAAGAGCAGACAGAAAGCAAACCAAAAATTACGGCGTAATGTGTTAGTGACCCTATAATGTCAAAATAAGAAAACTAAGACTAACCCCCCCCCCAAAAAAAAAAAAAAAGATAATGGGGAGGGATTTGACCTGCACCTGCTCTTCTATGCGGGATTATTATTCTTATTCAAAGCAAACTCTAAGCTACAATACATCTTCCGGGGTTAGACTAACCCAGAAGGCCGTGGATTCAATCCCTGGCAAGGGTAAAAGCCATGCTGTTCCTCGTGTTCCCGGTATAGAGAGATAGACTATGAAGACGCTTAAACCGGGGATTATGGTGTAGGGGTGTGAAAGAATCAAATAAGAAAACACGGATACAATTTCCCCAGTCCAAAAGAAAAAAACATAATGGCAGGTTCAAGGAACTGCCGGGTCTCCTTGCGGGGCTGGGGCTACAACTCTACGCCTTGTCATGAGGGCCCGTAGGCATCCGGCGGTGGAACATTGGTGACACGTTTCAACCCTGAGCTGTTCATACAGATAGGTACCTGGTTTTCACTGGTGTGGTTCGCATAGCATTATATGGAAGGACCCATAAGTAGGTTAAGTCTCGATGACGCCTGTAGTGTTGTGAAGGTTTCAGGAATGAGCACGGACTCCAAGTTCTAAAAGCGAACGAATTTACTTAATGTAATCTTCCTTGAGGGATTTCACCACAGCAAGTAGGTCCCTAGGTGTTAGTGGTGGGGGACAAGATGAAGAATCACAATGGAAATAAGGAGACAGTCATCGATGACTCCTGGGTGGCTAACCTTCCCCGAGTTATCCTGGGTGGCTAACTCTCCCCGGGGTTAAAAATCCGTTCAAAATCCTATCTTATCTTAACTTAACTTCCTTCTTATCTCTCACTTTGGTAGTTAGTTTAATATGTTTATTATGCACCCCATACCCATCCTGTGGGCGGTAGTCAAAAGATTACAGAGGTACATAATGGGTCCAGGGACTGGGCCTCAAAGTTTTGATAGCTGAGCAAGTTACAGAGGTAATGAATTCACAATTTACAAAGGTAATGAACTCACAATTTACAAAGGTAATGAACTCCAGGTAGGTCTAGTCACAATCATGACAAGTTACAAAGGTATTTACAGATTACAGAGGTACATAATGGGTCCAGGGACTGGGCCCCAAAGTTTTGATGGCTGAACTAGGTACAAGGTAATGAACTCACAAGTTACAAAGGTAATGAATACTGTAAGAATGGTTACTTACGGTTGAGGTTTCTTTTCTGGATACCGGAAAGCCGGGTACGATACGGCGTCAGCTTTCATTGGCCGGACACCAAACCAGCCCTATAACAACAACAATAACAACAACAAAATATAAAGCGAACTTCACTTATCCTGAAAAAAAAGAGCAAATTATCACTGTCATGAATCATCAGAGGTGAAACCAGTATCGTCTCAGTTATCCGAATGCATCCTAAACCGCTCCTGCACTTGTGTATAGACTTTCTGGTTAATTCAACCAAGAGTTATCAACGTCACTGCCATGATTATGAAGTAAAGTTATCTCGGTTATCACATAATCAGTAATTACGTATATTCTAACAATAATATAATATCTTTATGATGTATTTATGTGTACCTGCACCTAAATAAACTTATTATCTTATTCTGACTTCTCTTTAATGGTACTTTTCTAGTTCACAAAATTGGTCATAAATATTAATGAGTATTATTATCTCGGTAGCATATTTAAGGTTAGCATTTTTGTATTTACAATTACAGCATTAATATATATATATATATATATATATATATATATATATATATATATATATATAATTTGTTGTGTGTGTGTGTGTGTACATTATATATAGTTTCATAAATTATACAGATTTTTGAGAACTTATATTCTATTTCAAGAATATTTTTTTGAAGTTTCTTAGCCTTTTCTATAGGATTTTGCATTCGTTGAGGAGCTAAGACTAGAAAATCATTAGCAACAGTTAATGTGAAATCATAGTTTACAATACTGTACTGTCTAGTACAGTCAACACTGAAAGATTGTTGTACACTTCATTTACACAATTTTGTGCTGCAGGGCATTTGGAGTAATGTGAGTGAGGTGTGGACAGACCTATGGTACCTGTCGCCATGCATCCCTGATCGTGCTACACAACTGTTGCATAATTATCTTGTGTACGACCGCCACAAGAGTGAAGTTCGTGATGTAACACGACAGCTTTTGACTCTGTTAGCTATCAAAACTCGCAGAATCAGCTTTGTGCCAATAGAAGGACAGCTAGCAAGCATCATCTCTTCAGCCTTTTTCTCTGTAAAAAATGTTTTTGCTAATGAACACTTTCTGCAGGAACTGGATGTAACAGGTGTTGACCTCATTGAAGATATGAATGTGCTGTTAGCATTGCTGCCATTATGCTCTGAGCTCACTGTTCTCAAGCTGGGTGGCAACACAACAGCAGATGTGTTGTGTGCAGCGAGGAACTGTCCTATTACAGTTCTTCACATAAGTGAACGACTTGTTTGGCAGCCTCGAGTTACAGAAGATGACTTAATAGATATCATCATAGGTTCTCGGAATTACAACTTGGCAGAACTACTGAGCAATGTCCAACAGGGAAAATCAATTCATGAAAATCCATCTTGGCCACAGCTTTCTGATTTTTCTTCTGGTTACTGCAAAGTGCAATTAAGTTTTCTCCTTCTTATTCTAGTAGTTTTTACTAAATTACATTCCTTAGCTAGTAATTTAATTCAACTGCAAGATGTTCTCCAAGCCTTTCATAACTTAAGAAGAGAAACTCCTAATATGCACAAATTATCTCTTAAATCCAGTAGCTTGTATTCTGGTGGAGGTTTTATAGACACACTGGCATGTGTTGCACCTGATCTTGAAAAGCTAAATTTGGTTGCCATAAAAAATTATGTAAACACTATTATTAAAGACATACAAAAGCTATCCATTAAATTTTCATTTCTGAGAGTGCTTGATATAGACTTGCAATTCATAAACCTAGCTGAGGTTCCTGCAGAGACTTTTACTGGTATTGGATGGCAGCTAACAACACTAAACATTCATGCTAACAACTTTCATGAAGTAAGTCAACAAGATATAGCATTACTGCTGCAGTCATTTCCACTTCTTCAAGATTTAGCCTTAGACTTCAATAGAGAATTGCGCTGTGAACACAGTGATGCTCAGAAAATGCCACATTTTGAAAACGTAACAGTTTTCAAGTATAAAATATTCCAACCAAGGCTACGATCTTTACCTTGCATTCTTAAAATGTTTCCCAAACTTGAAAAACTTACTATTATTGGCAGACGCTTTTTAGACAAGCAAAAAATTTTAATGGAAACTCTGACTCAGTTGCAGGAATTGAGAATATTGAAAGTAATCAGACTTTTTAATTTGGATAAGGCAAGTCTGTGTGAGCTACCAAGGATGACCAGTGATAGGAGGCCATGGGAGCTGTATGCCTCTCCCAACATCTTTGAACAGGAAGACATAAAGAAAATACAAAACTGTGGATGGACATACATACCTATGACTGAATATGATTTGTTGTGATATTTATGATGAAAATTTTTAATTCTTGTTTGTAACATAATGGATATTATTTAAAATGTATTAATACATATACCTACATGTTTAACATTTTTGGAAGTACATTAGCTGATTATTATTGAAGTTTGAGAGATTTGTTTTATAATTGCTTGGTATTTTAGTCACTGATGGTGGATATATTATGCCATGTTTCTGTATTGACTTTCAAGTCACTGTAATAAGTAAACGTTACACAAATAAACAGATCTGTGTCTGGACATAATGCATAATTTTTTTTTACTGTACTGTACATGGATTTAAGCCTTTTTCTTTGTGTATTATTTTAGGTGAGTTTAGGTCAAAATATATTTACTAGTTCTAACAGAATACAACACAGATGCATTATAAAATACTCTAACTGAGGAATATAGTTTCTTTATGTAATTTAGGGCAGGAAAAACATGGAAAAAATCCTGTGTTACAGCAACCAATGTTCTGACAATGCATAGTGCAGAGCCATAGACTCTTAGTGCTTGCAGTTTTACCTAGAGTGCCAGTGCCTGGTGCCATACTCAGTCAAAAGCACCAACAATGTCCAGTGACAACATTGCTGTTTAAAGTCTTAAATTATGTTTCAAAACTGATGTTCTTTTAGAAGGATGCATTGTGACATAATTGTTAAAGTCTTCCTCTGTGCCTTCCCTAATGAAATATATTTAACACTGGCAATATTTGAGACTGCTAGTAAATGTACAAATTACTGTGTATTTGGTGTTATTCTTTACCTTTTACACATCTTTGAAAACTATTCATTTAGATTTAAAAAATTTATTCTGTGCAGTACACATGTAATATACACTACCTATATACTGCACAGTGTACAGGTAGTGTACAGTATATATGCAGTGCACTCTTTAATGGGCAGGGATTCCTTGATGCTGCTGAAGAGTTCTTGGTTCCAGGAACTGGAGCTACCCTTCCCTTCCTTGGATCAAACCTGAATACCTATTCTTCACCCTTCGAGGAAGATTCCACGATTTTGGCGAGGTGCTCTTAATGTGAAGGCCTGTTCTTCCCTTCCTTGGAGAAGATCTGATTGTCTTCCATTCCCCTAGGTACTGCACGACCCCTAGATGTTTAGCACTTGCCCCTAAATGTAATAATCAATCCAAGGAATTGAAGCCACCCTCTGCTTTCCCATTTCAAACGAGCTGTGTGACCCCTGTGGGTTTGGCACTTCCTCGTAAGTATAATAATAATAATCCATAGAATTCTGGAGCTACCATCCTCTTCCTCAGATCAAACCTAATGATCTCTAGGTCCCACAGTACTGTCTGACCCATTTGAGTTTACTGCTTCACATTAATAATTATAATAATTTCCATACTGCTAAAGATACGAGATTATAATAATAATCTTGGATCTTAACAAATTTGGAATATATTATTATTAACACTTGGAAACACTAAGCTCTTGGGGGCCATACAGTTCCAGGAGTTGTGGGATTTAGGTTTGATCCAAGGAAATAAAGATTCCATTGAGCAGGAGTCCTTGGATCAAGAGATGAATGGTATATGAAGATCCTAACTGGCTGGTTAGTTGGGTTGAAAGCCAATCTACTACACGAGGGTCATTAATGCTGCATATCAAGTGTACAACACCAGTTAAAAATACATAGTACCTAAAATCGGGGTTGAGCTCTCAGTGTATATACATATACACTATGAGATATATACGCTCCAAACACACTGAGATATACAGATATTTAGGTATATACAGTGAGATATATACACTTCTCATTGTATACTGTATATACAGATACACATGCCTCAGTGTATATATACATACACACGCCTCAGTGTATATATACATACACACGCCTCAGTGTATATACATGCCTCAGTGTTATATAACACTGTAGATAATACACACCTCGTGTATATACACATACCTCAGTGTATATACACAGATACACGCCTCAGTGTATGTACACAGATACACGCCTCAGTGTATGTACACAGATATACACGCCTCAGTGTATGTACACAGATACACGCCTCAGTGTATGTACACAGATATACACGCCTCAGTGTATATACACATACACGCCTAAGTGTATATATACACGCTTCAGTGTATATACACTGAGATATACACGCTTCAGTGTATATACACTGAGATATACATGCTTCAGTGTATATACACGCCTCTCTCTTCATACACTTGGATCACCAATATCGAGGCCAGAGGCAGATCTACTATGTAACTAATGAAGCTTAAGCTTCAGGGCCCCTAATCCCGGAGGAGCCCAAGAGGCAACTTCAATCCACATTGCTTAAAAATTTGGGGCCTACTATATGAGAAGGGGGTTACGAAGGGGCCCCATGACAGTTCAAGGTTCAGGGCCCCAAAAATGTAGCTCTGCCACTGGTCCAGGCACCAGTATGTCTCTTTCTCAGTATATATACTGAGAGTTACACACCTTTAGGTGCATATCTCGGTGTATATACACTGGGAGTTTACTTTGGGGTCTTATATTAGCTATTTTTTTTTTTTTCAAGAACTGGTGCGTTTTTTAATGTATCATTACTTTTGCTGACATGTTGACTGTGCTGTAGACATGTTGAGAGAGGTTGGCTGTAGTTTACCCACTTCAGTGACAGTAAGACACGTGTTACCAGAGCGACTTACGATGAGGTCGCTAATGGAAATAATTCATCGTATTTGCCTCTCCAGTGTGCGTGCCAGGTTCCAGGTGTTCAGTTATCCCCGCTGCTGGGGTTGAAGTCGCCCGGAACCTCGCTGGCGAATTGTTCGAGGTTCCTGCGAAGCTAATCCAGTTACGAATCTGCATCTTGCATTTAAGTCACCTGTCCCGAGTAACTGCCAAACGTTTGATAACCCAGAAGCCTCGCTATTTGCACAGTGCTTCGGTAACTTCACGACACCGCACTGCTTCCATTTTGACAGCAAATTCATGTATAACTGGTATATATCCCACGTTGAACCACCATTTATAGAAGATATACAACCCATACACTCCCAGAAACTCGACCTTTCTCGACTTGAGCACCCAGCCAACTCAATATTAGCTATTAAAATATTCTTGTTTGGTGTTATACAAGCGACCATTCAGACCCCATTAACCACCCATAACTATTACAGGCTCTATTACGCAGTTTATATGTATATATCAATGTATATATGCTCAGTTTACTTTAATTCCTATTTCATTAAAGTATTCTTGTCTGGTGGTGGAAAGGTTATAATGTGCAGCCTAACGACCCTCGTCTAGGTAAAAGGCTTTTATCCCCTGACTAACCAGCCAGGACTGTGCTGTTAGAGGTCAGTTGTGTCTGTGTCTTGACCTCCCAGGTCATACCATCCCTGGAGCTGCTGCTGTCACTGTCACAATATACATATGTGTGCCACAGGTCAGGTTTGTTGGCACTTCTACTGACTTTCTATATCTAGAACCGCTGTTGCAGGTCTGCTAATAGTAAGGTAAGTAGGGAATTTTTACTTGTTCCATTGATGGGAAAATAACCTTCCTTCCCTAGGTGTTGTATGACCCTTATGGGTTTACCACGATTTTTTGTTGTAGAGAAAGGCTGAGATAATGGCACTTAAAATTTCCTGGTTTACTGTGTAGTTTGTTAAAGAAACTATTGATTAATGACCAGTTCAGTAGTTAAGCATTCACTAGCCTACACCAGCTAGGTTATACACCTCATTTAAAACCGAATCAATACAGTCTTGAGCAGGTTTCAGATGACGAATAACTAAAACATAGCATGATGGGTTTTTCTTTTAAACAAAAGTCAGTCGAATGAGCCTAATAGGTTAAATATCCAATGATTTATCCTTCAGTTAGATACTGCACCCTATACCTATCAAGAAAGATGCCTTGAGAGAGAGGCTCTTGATCCAAGGAATCTGACCTGGGTTTTCCCCCTCCCTCCACCCAAATAGAAAGTGTATTGTAACCCAATTGTAAACTATGACAATGTTGCAGCGTAGCCATGGATACCGATGTCCCTTGATGCTGGTGAGGGGCTCTTGATCTAGGGAATTGGATCTGTGCTCCAGTTCCCTGAATTATGTATTATAAATTCATAAAATAAGTCTAAGGACGTGTTGTGAACTGGTGGATATAACTCGGGATATCCTAGTAGTCGGTAGCTTTCATGATCCTCCTGTAATATAACATATAAACCTAAGTAGTTAATTGGTTAGGCATAAACGATTGTACTGGCAAATATAGAAGCAATATAGGCTTGAGGTAGAACAGCTGTTGGACCCCGGTGGTTTAGCGCTTCGTTTTGAGTGTAATTGAGGTAGGTGTTGGAGCCGGTGGTTACTACGTTGATTCAAGTACAGGTACGCATAATTACACAATTATCATAGCAGTATTTGTAGATTACCTAAGATAACCTAAAAAGTTAGCTGGCATCGTGATAGCCATAACTTATATATTCTAAACCCATTTTAAGATCAGAACTAAGCACTCGACCCACAAGAATCACATCCCTCTAAATCCATAAATGTATAGGCAATTAGTTGTAATAGTAATACTTCGAACCCTTAAGCAGCGCACTATAGAATAAAGATAAGTTGATAGTAAAATTGACTTCTCGAACCACTTGTTAAAGCAGCCGCAACCTATTAATGAATCAAAGAATTTTTCGATTTTTTTTTCAGGTCACGACAGTGTTAATCTCTGGCAAGATGATACCCAAGAGACTATGGGAGCTGTGTATAGACAGAATAGTCAAGGCTACGCTTATTTTCCAGGAGCTTTCTCCTAATGCCGTCGTAAGTTTTACCTATTTTTTTTGTTCAGACGTACTGACCCATACTAGGCAGGGCTTTTTGAGACCCAAACACGTTAAGAAAAATATTTGTGCTGGATTCTTTTTCAATGCTCCTTTCTCTAGGCCAAATTTAACTATATTGGGTTAGCCTGGATTAATTATTATAGTGTACTATTTTGTACCCATAAGATCTATTAAGATAAGATTTTGTTAGTTTAGTTTTTTAACCTCTGAGGGTTAGTCACCCAAGAAAATCTACGTTATTGAGAATTATTCTACTCTAGTCCTTAAATCTGTCCCCCAGGATGCCACCCACACCAGTCAACTAACACCCAGGTACGGTACCTGGGTGTTAGCAGTAAGTAGGTACCCGAGGTACCTAATTACTGCTAAGTGAACAGGGACAGCAGGTATAAGGGAAAAAGTCCAGTGTTTCCACTCTTGTCTTCCCTGAAGGGAGGTACCTCGACGCTGGTGAGGGGCTCTTGATCTAGGGAATTGGATCTGTGCTCGTTCCCTGAATTGAACCTGAATACCTTTCATCCCCCCCACATGCGCTGTATAATCCTACGGGTTTAGTGCTTCCCCGTGATTATATTAGATTATTATAATCAAGGGGAAGCGCTAAACCCGTAGGATTATACAGCTCCTGAGGGGAGGGATGTGGAAGGCATTCAGGCTTAATTCGGGGAAATGGAGCACAGATCTAATTCCCTAAATCAAGAGCCCCTCACCAACATGGAGCCTTCCTGAGGGGCCCGTGATTATAATAATTCACCCTTGTCTGGGATGGAACAAAGAACGCTGAGGCGAGAGCGTTGCCTACCAGGCCACGGTTTATGGTGATGATGCAGTTAGCAGCCAACAGACTAGAGGCTGACCAGTAGCAGTTATCAGTGTTAGGTCGAGTAATCTTGCAGGTCACAACTTTTATATCCATGTATGAAGCGCCTGAAGCTTCTATTGTATGTGTATGGGGAGCAAAATAGATATTAAAAGTAATTAATATTGTTACTTGCCAAAAGACTTCGAGGAGAGGTTCCTTGATGCCGGTAATGAGCTCTTGATCAAAAGAATTGAAATTGTCCTGTCCTTGGATTGACTGATTGCCTGTCATTCCCCAAGCTCTGATACCCACGAGTTGAATAACTTGTCCTAAATGTAATGCTATCGAGGAGCATTTCATTTTCGTGACCTCTCGAGCACATAGATGACCTCACTAGGGCTTCTCCCCCCCCCCCTCCTTTTTTTCAAACTTCCCAGCTTCGCACCATCCATGCAGTACTGATTTAAGATGAAATTATCCTCTGGCACTGATAGTTCCTCCATTTCATACATGTTCCTCCATACTTTTTCCCTCCTAAAATAAACCCTTTGCAAACAAAGGTACATAATGAGTCCAGTCCCTGGACCCATTATGTACCTTTGTAATCTTTTGACTACCGCCCACAGGATGGGTATGGGGTACATAATAAAGATATTAAACTAACAATGCAGGACTGACTTAATAGTTTTCATCTTAATTTGTAAATGGTTCTTCCCCCCCAGTCCTCAAGCCTGGAAGACTGTTGCTGGGCCTCCCTCTGAACACTAACTCTTTTTTTTTACTCTCAAAAGGGAGTGGAACCTGTGCATAGTCTTGCTGGTGCTGTGGTGCTGGCAACGGGATATTGATCAAATTATTATAATCGTGGGGAAGCGCTAAATCCGTGGGATTAAACAGCGCATGGGGGGGGGGGGATGGAAGGTATTCAGGCTCAATTCAGGGAACCAGAGCACAGATCCAATACCCTAGATCAAGAGTCCCTCACCAGCATCAACAAACCTTCCTTGAGGAGATATTGATCACAGTAATTGGAGTCTTCCTTCTGTTCAATTATTAACCCTCCCCCCTTCCCCACTACTATTCAGTGGTGGTTTGAATGGTTTAGCCTTATTAAAAGACAGTACCTTAGCCCCCTGAATTTTTTCTTAGGGCGATAATGGAAGTTTTTGTTACTTCTTACTTTCCTTGCTCTGCATCATCCAAGATGGGAGTCCAGGAGACCACAATCTTGCACATAGTGGTACCTCCGGTTGCTGCCTAATCACCTGCAAATCCAGGACTGGTGATGTGTGCTGATCTGTGTTCTTGCCACTGTCTTAACAACCTTTCCCCCCCCCCTGTTATCAAGCAACTGCTATTTGTGCCTCTCCTCCCCTCACCCTCTAAAGTGGTTTTGCGAAGCCATTCTAGAGATGTGCCCTGGGTAACATAGTTCAAAAGACAGTTGGACTACTACAGTTTCACCCAACATTTGTATATAATGCCAGTTGGTCTTACCTTGGCGAGAACTGGAGCCCAGTCTGTGCCCAGGCCTCCTGGGGCCTGGTCCTTGCCCAGGCCTCCTGGTGGATCAGGGAGCGATGAGCCAGGTTGTTACTGCTGGCTGCACACAATCCAACATATGAACCACAACTCGGCTGATCTGGCAAAGACTTTAGGTATCTGCTCCAGTTTTTATAAGCACCAGAGGTCTATTGGTAATTCACCTTAGTATGATGGATTGTTGAACAGTCTTGGGCCCAAAACACTGAGTTTTCTTGTGTACTTGTGGCACCCCTGCTTCTCATTGTGGGTATGTTGCCCCGTCTGCCTAGTCTTTTGCTTTCCTGGAGTGATTTATGTGTGCAGATTTAGGACAAGTCCCTCTTAAGATTTTCCAGGTGTGGATCATGATGAATCTTCTCTTTGCTACATTCAAAGGATGGGCTCCAAACCTTCTCATTAATTAAGGTGGTTTGACTTACCTGGAGTATACTTGCAGTGAAAGTTCTTTCTACATTGTCTAGATCTAAAAATTTCACTTGCCTTGAATGGGGCTGCTTAGTCTCCTGCAATGGACTTTCCCCTTGTTCCATCTGTTACACCTCTGCACTTCCTTGATGTGGTTGCCAAGAAGTATCTTGTTCCACCGTTATCAATTGGTTTACTTTGTCTGCAAACCTCTCTGTAGCCTGTGGCACTCGGTGAGGCTGCAGGTGGGGACCTGGTTGTGTGCTTAGGCCTTCTTGGACATGCACCTATTATATATCTGGGTTATACACACACAACCCACACAGAACTGAAACTTGACAATGTATTGGTCCACCTTGTGACCATTAACTAATCGTGCAGAAG